GGCGGCGGGAGGGCCGGCACGGAGCGGCCGCCGGGCGGCGCCCCCCACATCCGGGAGCCGCCCCACGGCCGCTGCTGACTCACGGGCCGCCCGCCCGGCAGGCGCGCCTGCGCGGWGCCCGCCCGCCCTAACGGCGACAAGGGCGCCCCCCACTCATACATACATGCATACATACATCTATATATATGTGCACAGTTGTCTTCTGAATGTCATATGAGTACAGAGGGAGGTAGAGGCTGATGCCACCTTGTGGTGCTTACCACAAGCATAGAGGGCAGCTCTGGGCACCTCCTGGCATGCTGAAAGGGGCTGGGTTTTGCCTCTGTTGTTGTGTTGGCAGCTGGGAGTTCTGCCAGGAGAGCGTTGATGTTAACATTCACACTTCCAGCAAACCACCCCCAGGGCCCTTGTGTCTCTCCCCACATGGTGARGAACAGGGGGCCACCGTGGCAGGGAAGGGGGTGACTGATGCTCCTGGTGAGCCCCAAGGCCTGGGACCAAGTGGAGGAAGGAGCAGGGTGCCTGCCCTTCACACAGCCCCTCGGACGGGGCACCAGGCCTGCTGGCACCTTGGCTTCCTCAAGAGGCAGCTCACAAGGACTTCAGGCCATGTCAGCTTTCTGAAACACACCGTGTTCGCTTATCTCCACGCTAGCCCAAGCCCAGCCCTACCAGGTGCAGGGGCAGTATTGCAACATACACTGCATCATTATGTGCTAAGTGTCCCGCTATGGAATGAAGTCCCAAACTAACCCCAACACGTAAGCTAGAAGAAGGTGCAGTCACCGGAGAGAATACACAACCCATATAGAGCTTGCTGACTCATCTCGGCAAGTTTCTTTCTTTAAGTTTCTTTTCTGCATGTAAAGATATCTTAAAGAATATGAATAAACAAATAAATAAAATCCTGAACTTCAGCCTGGGAGAGGTAAATATACAAAGCAATCAGTAATGAATTGCCACATTTTGTGGTGTACATCTGTTTCCTTGAACACAGAAATCCCCAATCTTTATCAACCAGCATCACAATCATTAACTCCTTGTTAATAATGAAGTATCATTAAAAATAAAGCAACATGTTCAGTATATTCAGAATTGCATCTCAACTTTTTTTTTTTTTTTTTTTGGTAGATAACAATTATTCAGTAGCCACTTTAAGCTTGCAACTCATGAAACATTGAAAAAACTCACATTCAAGCTGTACACACTCACCTGATAACAAATTATTAAACAAAAAGTTCTTCCACACTGCTACAGAGATCTTCTATTACAATCAGGGAAAGCTTTTAGGAAGGTGACAATTTTCCCTAACATACAGGATCTCTCTCTCTTTTTTTTTTTTTTTTTTTTTTTTTTTTTTTTTTTTGGCCTGATGCTACAGACTATTTGCAATACTCTGTATTAATAAAATCTGACCAGAGCTTCTGAGTAGTTTGAATAAAACTCCCATGCCACAGTTGTCTGCTATGTGAAGAGCTGAGTTTGTGCAAGGACCTCTGCACAAACTGAACCAAGGGCAAATTGCAGGACTCGGGCAGGAGTTATTGCTTCAGGCTTCCTATATCAAAAACATTTTGCAAAGGRGTCTGTTTGGGTTTTGTGCCTTTTCTGATCCTGCACACAGTGTCAAAATCACATAAACACTTAACCAATAGATAAAAAAAACCCAAACACATAGAAATGCATAAAGTGTTGAATAATCCATGACAATCTTTATGTTTTATAAAGTACTTAGAATAAAAAAGCACTTCATGAGGGAGGGTGCATAAGCACAAAATTAAGTCTGTGTAAATCACATACTTGCATGTCTGCAAATAGGTCACAAGATTAAAGATCAGAATAAGCTAGAAATAAGAATCCTGCTACACTCCGTAAAACTGTTTTCCCCATCCACATGCCAGTCATTTCCAGGAACACCAGCTCCTTTTTGTGCAGCACGGCCATCTCCAGCTTCCCGACCGCACCAGCACTTCTGAAGTCAGTCACGGGATTAGCAACATCCCAACGCTGCTGTTAGATCAACCAGCAGCGGGAGACACTTTTGGCTCTTAGCACAGCCTGACAATGTTGCCTCCTCGGAAACTCGAGAATAATCCACTTCAAGACCACAGTACTCTGTATTCTTGACCAACAGGCCAATGCAGGTACTCCTGTTAAATACCCAATAGTCTGTTTTTCCTAAAGGGAGGCAATACAGTTTTAAGGAATTTACATTCTCCTTGGAGAASAGATCACCTGCACATCTCTCAAAATTAATGGGAGATCTACTCAAATGCACACAGCTACAATCAAAAAAAAATTACATGCAGCAACACACTGCATGCAGCAATAGTCATACCGTAAAAAAACGGAACACTGCACTTTGCTAAGTGCCTACGAAGGGAAAGGGAAGGAAAAGGTTACATGTCCCTTAACAAAAAATCCTACMCCTACAAATATATAAAAGAATTTGAAGTGCAAAAGAAAAAGGGTGAGGATTCTGCTAATGCAATTAGAGTGCTTTTATAACTGCGACAATTCAACAAAAGTCCTTAAGGGATACACTCACAGATCACARAATCATTTAGCTTCCTGACTAAAAAGACAGGTTTGTAACTAGTTATTCCTTTAAAAAAGCCTAACCATAAATCTTTTTTTTTTTTTTTTTTTTTTAATTTCATCTCCTATCCTGTTAGGATGAATACACAAACCAGGTGCTTGTGAAGCACAAGTGCCATCAATCAGGAAGAAACATTATTCTCTTGAAAACGGTAAAAGAGAAGAGGTTCTACTGTAAATAAGAGATATATACAGGGCCCATTACCTTACCAAAGTGTCTTGTTTTGTAGCTGCAAAACAGCCACTAGAGGTCAGTGGCTCAGAATAAGATTAGAACACTGAAGAAAAACTTATTTTCATTTCAACTGACCAGATTTCTGCAACTTCCAACTCTTGGGTAATGAAAAGACTCTTAAAGACAGCAGCACTTACCTCCATCCTCATGGAAAAAAAAAAATAGCTCACAATTCTTAAACTATACTCTAATGAAGCAGCTACTCTTACCTGAAGAATAACACATACTGAATATACAAACCTGAGACAGAAGGGGCCCTACTGAATCAAGTCTGTTCTGCTGCTACTGCAGCTACCTCACACAGTCTTCCATGAAGAAATCAAACAGCAGCTTAAAAGCAGCCTGCTTCTTTTGCCTGTGCTGCTTTTGAAGAATATGAAATAAGGTTCTCTAAGATCAGTTTCAGAAGTAAAAGTTTCAGAAGTTTGGAGTGCAAAATGACAAGAGATTAGAAACACCTATATAGGGCAAAAATACTTTTTTAAAAAATTTATTCCCCTCACAAAGTGAGGCCGTCAGAACTAAGAAAGGGGCAAATAGCAARGCATATGAAAAATATGCAAATGGAAAATAAAAAATAGGGCCCACCAAATATTAGTTATCATGTACCTGGTGCTGTAGATGTATATAACATTGATCCACAGCATGTATATGTCAATGCACATGGCTTGAACTGGCTCCGAAGGGTGGTGTTTAAAAGTTTGTAAGCAATTTTTAAAAAGTGAAGAGGACCAGTGGATGCTGAATACAAGCTCAACTAATGCTTCATGCTATTACTGTAGTTTCAGAGGTTTGAATATTCCCATGTATTAAACAATTAACTAATTGTTATAATGTTATGTGCTTTAGAATTCAGGTATGTGCTTTAAGTGAATTTCACAGTAGCCCAAACCTTTCCAACAGCCTTGCTATGAAAGTCTGGATCTAAAGGTTCTTGTCAATGAAAAGATTCCTGTAGACTACAGAGTTGAAAGGAATTCTAACGGACAATGTTAGAATATCCATTATTTCAAAATACCAACTGTTTGATCAGATATCCAAAATACAGAAATAGCAAATCCATAAATATTAAGATAAACTAAAAAACAGCATGTACTGTAAGAATTCTTAGCACACCAAGTAACACACATGAGGACAAAATCCTACACGCGAGTACTAGTTTCTCTAGACAGATAATACATAAATGTAACAAGAGGGAAAGGAAAAGCTATTAGAAACCACTCCAAGGAGCCCAGTAGCAATACAGAGTATACCAAACTGTAGTAAAGTTTACTTCTCTACACTAACACAATATGAACCTCACAAGTAATGCAGAGGAGCACAGAATTCCACATAATTTTTTGTTCATTTTAAGTAGATGAAGATCAGCCTTTGTCCTGTAAAACACGGCAACATCTTAAGACTCTATTCCAATGACATTTTAATATGGAATAAACTTGAAATAGTTTTCAGCTAGTAAACTTAAGTACTATGTAGCTAGTAATAATGTCAAAGCTGCAAGAGCAGAGATTTAAGGTTTACAAAAGCAGCGTAAGATCCACACTGAATTTCCATACTTTTTATTACAGAAAGCTAAATTATTCAGCATTTTTCCCCACTCCTCGTTTCTTCCATATTATTTTTCTATTCTTGTGAAAACTAAACTCAACACTGCTGCAACTGCTACTGCTGATCTACTTCTGCACCTTTACAATTCAATTTTAAAGTTAATTTTCCTGTTAACTGATGCACCATACTCCTGTTCTTCACATTGACAAAGCTGTTAACATTCATAAAAACACATACAGCAAAAACTGAAAATACCTTGCAGACAAGCAAGGATCATGGTAAGCAGTGTGCAGACAGGTAGCAGACTGCTGCAACACCATTGCTACTCACAAATCAAACCATGATCAGGCACATGAAAAATCAGCATAAAGGAAGACAGTTAACCCCTAATTAACCATGGCATTCCATTAAGAGAAAGCTCTTTGATGCTTCCTCAAATATAACCCACCCTGTTGCTTCTCCAAGACGAATCTAGGATCGCAGATGCAGGCTGAAGTCAGTTTTGATAGAATAAAGTCCATCTGATAGGAGTTGAACAGAAGTCAGTTATTTAAAGCAGTACTACAGACAAATCACGGGTCCCCCCCCCAAAGCAGAGTAACAGGGATCACACTACTGACAGTGCTGGTTTATGGTTTCGTTTACTTGTTACAAAACAAATTACACTGCTAAATTCCAAGCAATATGTGCTGGTTATCAGAGCAGCAATTGGTCTTATTTGGCTAGTGTGATACAACCATGGTCACAAAACCCACAACTGTAAGATTCACAGAACATAATATCACTTAGCAGAAAACAGATGTACCTGTAACTATTAACATCTGCATTGAAAATATGGTAGTAARTTCAGCATCTGCACCAGCTCTCACAGAACTTGGCCTGATATCTGCACTAATTAMAAATAATAAAATATCAATCACTCCACTGACTTAAAGACATATATCAGCTTTTTTTTAATATGCAACTTGTGCAACTAATTCTTTTCCTCTAAGAAAGCAACAAGCTATAGCAGCTGGTTATATCCTGAGCTAGTCTGGAAGGGAAAAAATAACCATGGGGAATGTTTAACATGCAAAGCCTCTGGTCAGTAACTGAAACCCAGAAATCTGAAGTTAACCACCACCRTTGTTTTTGCAACGTAACATTGGTAATATTTCAAAAATTGAGCAAAAGCTACAAAATCTGATTTCAAGAACATCAAAGCCATAGCTGTATCAATACAGAAACAAAACAATTTAATTGGTTTTGAAATAAATATTTGACATACAAAGCACATACAGTGAAAAAAGAGGGTCACAATAAATTACAAGTGGAGATACTATGCTCATTCACTCCAAAAAGCCCTTGGTAGCTGCAATTTCATACCATCAAATTTATCATTCTTGCTGATTTAAGCAGAACACTAAACAAATATGGATCCCAGTGCTTACTTTCCCAGGTAGTAGCATGGATAATTTACTGCAGTGATCCAATTTGAAAATCAGTAGGGACCAGTAAATCGCTGCATAAAAGAAAGAGCGAATGAGGTGCTTTTTCCTTAGTGTCAGCAGGCTGTGATTATTATGTTTATTAGATTTTCTTGAGCGCGCTTCACTTTTCTCAAATATGCAGGAGAACTACATTTCCCCTCTGAGCTTTACATTAGCATTTCGTGCCTCAGCCACTGAATACAAGAAAAAGATGAATTTTTCAATTCGTTTTAGAAGTTTGTGCCATCTGGGTGGCACAGAACTAAGCAGCTCCCTTATTCATACAGTACCTGCCATTATCATGGAGCTAGCTTTCATAGGAGAGTTAATAAGGTATACTGACCTTTTCTATGAAAATGATATTTTCCAATCTACATTTAATCTTAAATTCAATTACTTTACCCATACTAATAATGCAACTGTGAAATAAAGGGTTGCTTAAGGTTGTGTCCTTCAYGGATAGTTTAAAACTGCAAGGCCTGCTTCTCCCTAAGATATTAAGAAACTTTATCACATTAATGTTGGAATACAGGGAGATGCTGATTAGCTTCAGTAGCGTTAAGTTACAGGCACAGGTACGTACCCCTACGCCAAGCAGCAGCACAAGGAATGACCCTGCGTGTGCAGGGCGGTTGGACTAGATGACCTCTGAGGTCCCTTCCAACCTTAACCATTCTATGATTCTATGAATTTTCACAGAGGAGCACAGCCTGCTGGTGCCCACCTTGCACAGGAGCTCGGGACCTCACTCCCCTGCCCATCCCTCCTCACCAGAAAAGGAGGATACAGAGGGCTGTAGCTCCACACACTCCCCTTCCACAGGGAAAAGGGTTTTTGACAACCCTTTCAGAGAGTGGGCTGTTCCAGCTCTATAGTCCTGGTCATCCTTAATCTGAGCACCACATGGTACAGGTTTTTGTGCAATAGTTTAATTAACAGAACCATTTTGGAGACAGAGCCAAGACAGGTGGCACAGAGAAGAGTCCCTTGGACACCTGTCCAACACTTTTTTTACCCTCTTCCTATTTTCTGCTCTGCCAAAGCTCTTACACTGTCTTGGGCAAGTGAGTTTTCCTTCTGTGCCTCAGCTCATACCTGTAAGATGGGCAATAACTGTATTTAAGGGAAGTAGGGGAACTCTACAGTAAATATTGTGATACAAGAGCCTAATGAGACAGGGAGATCAGCACCACGTACAAAGGGACCAGCTCTGTAATCCGTTTGAACCGCACACTCAAAACATATAGCTCCAACAAATCTGTAGCTCAGGAACTAAGGCTCAGAAGCCAAGGGCTCAGAATCTGTCACAAACACTGAGTTATATATTTATAACAGTTTGGTAAAAACATGAAATTTAACATACTAACAGATATTGCTTCCCTTCAACATCATGGAACAGTCAACACTTCTGTTATCAGGAAACAAAATATATGAAACTGACACCACAAAGATAATAAAAGTATAAAATTAAATAAAGAACAAAACGGGAAGGATGGATGTATTAGTAGATTATTTGCTTACAAGAAATCCCAACCAGTATTAGCATTTCCCAAGAGACCTAATTTGTCTGTTCTCACCTGTAGATAAATAAAGCATCAAAACCAAAGCCTTATGGAGGAACCTCAGTTACACAGCAAGCTCGTGCAACAGCAGGGGTATGACCTACCACAGAACATAAGTAGCAGCATTTTAACTTATGAAAGCTAAAATAGTTCAAAATAAACAATAGCAAAAACAATTACCACATTAGGCTCTCAAACTTGCACTAGGACAAGGATGCTTCTCTTCACATGAAGAGCTACAAAATTTCTCTAGCCRCCACCAGTTTCCACTACAGGCTCTGCATCATGACTATCTGTTGGTAGCAGATAAAAAGAATCTTTTAACAAAAAAAAAAAAATCTTGTTTGCAGCATTTAGTGTGTTTAGTTGTTAGTAAAGAAACAGTAACAAACCGTGATTAAGAAGCAGGTATTAAAAAAACACACACACATACACAGAAAAAAAAAAACCACTCAGCACTGAAAAATCTCAGGTATCACTAAAGTAGTCTAATGCTATGGAAAATAAACCCAATCTGATACCAAGTGTAGGTCCGTAGCCTTATTCATTTGCTTGGAAGGTCTCATTGTTCTTTTTTGTTGTTGTTGTTTTCCCCTCCATACACTGCATGTAAGCTTTTTGAAGCCACAAGCAAAAGCTGTGCTTCAGTTCTGTCAGCACCCTCAGCAAAGCATGCAAACACATGCAAGACTAGCCAAGCCAAATTCCATTTATAAAAATTGTCTCCCCAACCCACTTCTAACACTACTTAGAAGAAAAGGTTATCAAGAAGTTCCATATCCATATATAAGCTCTATTTCATGAGTCTAACTCTTCAGCTACTGAGATGTCATTTAATCCTTTCAGTTTTCCTTGTCCATTCATAGAGAATCCTAAAAACTTGGGTCTCAAAACCCAGCATCCTTATCCTTTTATAATATTTCAGGTATTTAATGCAGTCTCCACAAATAACAGTGTATAGCCAAAGGAACAATAAGCTGGGATGATAATAAAAGCAGTTATGCTCTAAAACTACCACAGAAGTTAAGAGACTGCATTCTGCTCAAGTTCCAGGTTCTAGCATCAGTATGTTCTGTTAGGAAAAAAAAAAAAAAAAGCTTGAAGAGCCTAGTACGTTACAATTAACACTCCTTTTATTGTAGAAATTTTAGTTTTTCTAAAATTTTCAAATTACAGGATATACATATAGGGAATGCAGTTGCAAGTCTTAGCAGCTGTAGAACTGTACTGCATGCAGTTACTTCTGCACTGTGCAAATATTCCATAAATAGCTAATTATGGTCAGAGAGCAAGTTTGAGAGTCAGAGAGTATCATACTGAGTTACCAAAAGCAGGTCTTCATCAGTACCAAGAGGTCGAGCAAAAGAAAGTRTATAAATGTATATCTCTCAACCAACTAGTATTTAACATAACTGAAAAGTTGGAATTATAGCCAAATCACAAAAAAAAGTAAAATACTTTGTTTCTACATTGCTTTCAAGTGTTTCACCCAAGTTCTCTAAAAAGAAAAAAAACAAAAACAAAACAACACAAACACACAATGCATCAGTGCATTTAGAGTTCACAAAWGGCTGACAAATTCCATTAAGAATAATCAAAATATTAATATTTACCACGGAAGATCAGGCAAGTGCTTTGCCTTAACTTTCTGGTAAGAGGCTGCATCTTGACAGACAGCATTCTTTTCCCATGACCTACCTTTCAACTGTTGGGCAAATGCATAATAAGCACTCAATTCATTATTCATTTCTGTAGCCATGATCAAGTAGCCTTCAGATCAGTAAGATCACATGGATTTATGCCAAAAAGAATCCTACAGTCACTTGTTTCAATAGATGCCTGAACAGGTGCAATCTTTTATGTAAATTTCCCATCACAATGACAGCCTCAAAAACTGGAAGAACAATTTATATAGAGCTAGCTACAGATTAATTTTCTAAAGGCAGACATGCTCGAGTTACCACAGTCTCACTTTTGCAGAGACACAAGAACACATTTGCAATGATTCTGAAAAAGTTACTACATTTACATTGATTAGTTTGCTTAAGAGATGGTTAAAAGTTTAAGCATTGCATCTTTGTCTCAAAAGCTTACAGGTCAGCAGCTTGGCTTGCTAAAACACCATCTTATGACAACATAACTGTACAGTTTCCTGYGGTCTGAGTCCTGAGATTTCTCCCAAATACACAGGAAGAAACCAGGACGTTTTCCCTCCCTGACTTTATTAAAATCAGCTCTCCCTAAGAAAAGATGTTAGCCATGCCAGCTWGATAAATTTTAATCTATTTTGTTAGATTCAAAGTGGGACACTTTCATATTGAATACAGTAATTTAGACAAATAAGGCTATGGACACATTAGTAAGCAGAATACTGTCCAAAGTGCAGTGCAGCRAGTTGTGTACCGCACGCTGCCCACTGGAGACACTTCACAGTGCCTGGGGTTCCAACCAGCAGCCCTACTGAGCAAACATTCCTCAAGACAAATAACAAACAAAAACTTTTAATCAACCTCAAACAATCTATGATTTTTAAAAAATATTTGTGTGATTGAGCTTTAACCCTCTTAGACTGTTTTGGGGAAGATGGAGCTACTTTTCATCAATTAGCAATACAACACAGTAATTTTAGGTTTTCAAGACTTGCTTTTGAGGTCATCAATTTTACGTTATCTCCAAGAAAAGCATATACACATTTTTCTACAGCCTCGAGTGAGATCAGTGTAAAACCAGGAATTTATAATCATCAGCAGATGTGCCAGCTGCTCATAATGTTCACATTACATAAAAGCCTGAATGTCAGCTACGCAACAGTTGGTGCCAATCTGCTTATAAAGGAAATGCTGCTGAGGCAGAGTCTTCTTACAAAAACAGGGCACGAAGGCTTCATTATTAGATGTTCAACAACGATCCTCAACTCGGTGAAGAGAGTCCTGAGAATGAGATTTAAACAAAGAATATTAAGAGCCTATAACTATCAGGTAGAACCATCTACTGCCTGGAAATCCTTTCATTCACTTATTTTCAAATAAACAGGTACCCATACACTGTAGTTAACAAGTTTCTTTAGATCAACTCCCTACTGCAGTATTTGTAAGAGTCTGAGAATTCGTATCCTTTAAATATTAATGTTTTAATTAACTTTGAAAGCTACTTCCATGCATGGACTGATATAAGAGAGCATAAAAATCCACCTTCAAGGTGGGAAATATTGTGGAGGAGAAAAAACAAAGTAATGCTTTTTCAAAGGCCGTGTAAGGAGCTGAGGGGCCAAGARAGTGGATTGTGTGCATTGCTTCTTGCCAGAAGGGATATAAGAACCTGCAATCTAGAATGAACAAGACAGACACAACAAGTAAGAGCCACAACAGTAGTTAAAATTACATAAGACTAAGAAATAGCAAAAACCAGGAGCTGTATTAAAAAACAKGATTTAGATTGCACAGCTTAAGTTATCTGTGGGTATCAAAACAAGTGCCTTTATTGATTCTTGTTGAAAAATACCTGTAATCCGGTGGAACAAATGATTTCCTACAAAACAATAGGGAACAGGAGGAAAAGGCCACCTCCTTGGTACCTTGTCAAACTATTTTCTGATCAACCAGTGATCAGACTGGGAAGCAYGTTCACAAAATCTGACATTATGCAGTGCTTCCAAAGAAGGTTCCAAGAGAGGTTTCAACTTAAGTATATATCAAACATGCTTAAGATGATCCACAATTTTTCAGCTGATACTATCAACACAAGTTCATAAATACCTGTTTATGTAGAGAAGTAGACTGACAGGCCTGCAACCTAAAAATAAGGCTACCTTTCTGGTGAACAGTTACTGTTAAGACTTTCTTTCCCAAAGATTATTTAGAATCCATCTGCAAGCTCTCATTCAAAGACAGTACTTTTCAGAGAAGTCCAGTTATGTGAAGTATAACCTTGAATTCATTATATTTTTGTTAATATCCACGGTTATTCCACATTTCTACTATTGTCATTTATAGGTTTAGAATTACAAGTTACGTGATCATTTAAGAGTGAAAATTTTCGCAGTACTGAAATACTAAGCTGTTAAGCATCACTTCCTGAAATCAGTGTAACACTTACCGACAGTATGGATTTCGCCGAGAGGAGTAGCGTAGMGTAAGGAACCTATAGTAAATGAACGGCTGGAGAAGACTCCCCTGGCCACTGAAAGAAAAAAAAGTGGAGCTTTATTCTCCTCTTCCTCCCCCGGCTTCCCCTCACTCCCAAAAACACAGAATTTTTCTCAACAAACATAAGGCAACTAGCTAGGTTCAAAAACAACAAGCCAGACTGAGGGTCAGAGTTGTTCAAACAATCTAGACTTGCTGGAGGAATAAGATAAACAAATCCCTAAATACACAAGAAAACTAACAGCACATTTACAAAGGCTGAATTCTAATTTGGTTTATTAATATTTTTATTCTTTAAGAAATGCAATATTGCTGCTTTCAGATCAATTTTGTATTTATGAAGTATTCTATGTCTAGCTTCCAGTAGAAGAGTAGTTGGAGAAGAGTTACAGAAGTGTCAGCAGAGACCACGTAATGTTAAGCAAAAGCCTTTGGTCAAACCTGGGAGCTGTCTGGCATAATTTACATACATAAGCTGTATGCGTAAGTTACAACAAACACTTTCTGTCCAAAGCACAGTGTTTTGAAAAATTGGGCCTCAGCCTCACTCACTCTTTTGCAAAACTTCTTACAGAGACCATCATCGATGTACTGAGATATTAAAATCATGCCAATTTAAACGACTCGCTCTGAAATAAGTATTTCTACACTTCACAAAGCTGCTGTTCACTGTGATAGTGAGACAGTAGCAAAGGGGTAGCAAGTTGACCTAAACCACAGAGTAAATCACAGAAATACAATAATTTAATCTCACTGATTGAAGTTGCCTTATAAAAACACAACTAAAATGCCCTGTATAGAATTGTACATTACCTGACAGGTTCATTAACTAGAGCTTCTTCAAATATGATCAGGATCTTTACCCAGATGCATAACACAAAGCAAAAAGGAAAATGAGCTATGGGGGCAGGGGAAGAGGAAGACTTGCACCTGTGTAGTAATTACTAGCGATTTAATAAGCTAAAATAGCTTACAGTACACACTTTCAAAAATGTATTTATACAGTTATATAAAACTTTTTTTTAGAACAATTGTATTAAAGCATTGCSAACTATATTGACCTTCATGTTATCCGAAATCTCAATATATAATTTTAAATTTTCAGTTCCTAYTAGACAGCACATGAAGCTACACCTAAATTCTTTGTAAGTGGAAAGGACTTCTAAACCAAATTTGGAAAGTACGTGAATGTTTCAGATGCTGTATTCTGACACTACGTGGCAGTTGGTAACGGGTCCTAAAATGAAACAAAATCCATCAAGGGTAAAAGCCTCAAAAGCACTCAGCTAGCATATTATGAAATAAAGACAAATAGGTTCTATTAACTTCCAAGTAAATAAAAGCTCCCTTCTGACCCCTCAGGACAAAGACTTTCACTGTGCTATGATTTCCAAAGGAAGGGCATTTCCTCCCTCCAAATATCAAAAGGCAATGCCTCCAGCTTCAGTCACGTGCAAGTCATTAGGCCTATTTGACTTTAAGTTGGATTCCAAAACACATAAGCTCTAAAATGAATTCAACGAGGAGCACAGACACCCAGCAGGCAAAACAGATGGAATAAAAAAAATTGTCTCTGATCAGGAAGAATACAGGGACATAACTTACTCCTCATTGCACGGTGAAATTTCCACGTGAATTATATATCTGGGATCACAGTACTCAGAAATAAGAGCTAGCTTCACTGAAAGGATCGACTTATGAACTCTACATTCTACTACACCAACCACAATTACATCTACTGGATGGTTTAGCATGCGTTGCAAGACTGAAAAAAATGATTTGAACCAACAATCTTACTCATGCTAAGAAAGAGAGAAGTTCAGTACCAAATTACATTGGAATGAAGCCTTTCTGCTTTTGTGATGTACTACCTTGAGAAATCTAAGAATCAAATAAATTCAAGCTCAGGTCTTGGTCAGACAGAATCATATAAATGGGAGATCTCTATGACCCACATGGAACTCACTGCAAAGCGTAATCTTGTGTAGGAAGCTCCTAATTCCAAAAAACAATCAAACAAAAAAATCACAACAACAACAGAACACCACATACTGCACTTCATACCTGAAAAGCATGAAAACTGTAGCTGGCATCAGGAAAATTTCATTGCAAGCAATGAATTTTAGAATATTCTGTTGATTAGCATTCAGCTTCTCCAAAAGATTTCTTAAAAGGGGCAGACTATTTGAACCTCGTGCCTTTAAGGAAGAAAAAAGAAAAAGGATTATCAGAAATCATTTYGGTTATACAAATCTTCTCCAGCAAGAAGGAAACAGAACAACTATCGGTACACCTTTTTTCATCATTTTAATACAAGATCCCTAGGRAATATCAGCTTCCCAAACTATTTGTTTATGACGTTATTGGATGATATTTGTTTATATGCTATTGGAAGTGTGAGATCCCTCTTAGAGGGATCACCAAAAACCTAAGAAACTCAACTTGCATACAGTTCAATTAAGAACAYGAAGTTTTGCAAACCCCTCCTGTACATATTTTAGGTGCAACAGTGCACTCTACCAGCCTTATTCTGTTCAGCTGTGGTTGCAAGATATCCCAGTTTGGAATATCAGAGATTAGAGCTAAAAATCTGCACAAGACACTGCTAGAGCAGCAGCTCCACCCAGTACATCTCTCTTCCATTGACACTAAAAGAACACAAAACTGCAACTGTAAAACCTAATACAAAAGCCAAGCACATCACAATTACTATTTTACATCATACTTACATCAAGAACCTTTTTTGTATATGTGGCAGCATGAAGCAAAGAAAACAGCAGAACTGGAAAAATACTCACTGAAGTAGACGATAAGGAAAAATATAAACTACTGGCATGCTTCATTCCGCCCCCAACACACACACTCTAATGTTACAATAACACAGAGCTGCTGGCTCTTTACAAAAGCTTGGCCAGAATCAGGTACACTGGATTACACCATGCACACGTCTAACAATTCTGTAGCCATTCTCTTTGCTTTTTACATCTTTCTTGACCATCATTTATTGATTTTCAAGCATGTTAGTTGTGTATGCAAAAGTATAACACACAGTTTGACCTTATACACAGTTGAATTTCTGAAGAAATAAATTCTTTCTTCATGGAAATGTATAAGGTTAGAAATTAAAATCTGTCATACAGACTCAGTCATGATTATGTTCATATTAACAGATGTTAGACACTGTGTTTCTTCGAAGAACATGCAGTTGCCATCAGTTCAGATTCTGGACAGCAAGATTCTCGTGTCTGTCATTTTAAGAGTAAGGCACTAAACTAAGCACAGAATGAGAAGCCACTTCATAAATGACATCTTTGACAAGCCGGGAAAATAAGCATCTTTTTCAGGGTTAAAAGAAAAAAGCTGAAAACTTACTACTTAATAGTAGCTTGTGCATCATATCTCCTACTTACRGTACAGTTATATAAGTGAATGGTAACAAACGAAAAACATCAAATGCTAGTAAAGTATCACATTTGACATAATRGATAAAAACACTGCATTTAAATCAAGGAAAAAGATAACACTAGGTGCCAGGGGTTACAATGCACTAGTTAGAGACTGTTAACCTGAATATGGTTCAATCAGCATAAGCAGCTCCTATTTTACACAGATTATGTTCTATGAATAGTCAGAGTGTTTTAATTTAAACCACTTCTTCAAATCATGGCACAGATAACGAAAGCCATCGAGTTTTTCAGATATTTTTAAAACCGACCAGGACRCCACTTTGGCAAAGGATACTCGTGACGGGGTAGGAATTAACAAAGATGAGGGAGTAGAGCAGGTAGTGGCAGCTGTCCTCCAGCAAGGCCTGGGCCAGGAAGGCCCTGCTGAGCTGGAAGTGGGGCAGCCGCTGGTGCAGGCGCAGGGCGCTGGTGAGAGCGTTGGCCAGCAAGGCCCGCTGGTAGAAGCTCGCTGCTTCGTGCAACCTGCAAGGTACCAGAGGAGGTGTTGCCATAAAAACCAGCCGAGGCTCTGCCTACGGGAAGCCCTCCCTTGAGAATTGCATCACAGCTGCAATTACAAGTGCCACACTTGGCACTTTTCCCACTGTAAGAGCCATTACCAAGATGGYTTCAAAAACTAGCAGTGTTGACTTACTACCAAAGATACTTACTACCCTGGCAAAGATAAAGCAGGCTATTAGTACATTGCTACAAAAAGAAGTACATGTAACTGGCTCCACAGTTATTCAACATGTTTCCCAAACATATCTAAAAGTGCTTCACGCCAATTAAAAAAAACTGTATACTGTTCTCACAGAAAGCATCCAGTACAGTGAATGCATTCACATTCATTTTTACATAAAAAAAAAGTATTTACACTCTTATACTCTGAGAAGTGTAGCTGCCATGTAAGTTTTTAAATGTTATTTTACAGTACTATAAACATTAAAACATACCCCAGAAGAGGCAGGACAAATAAAGCTGAGCAGTAAACCGTGAACAAACGGGAAATCCACATTGCTGTATCCAACTTGTTTGCCATCAGAAATTGCTACATTGGATGAAAGAGGAAGAAGAAAGAAAAAAAAAGACAAAAAGCCATCCCTAGAAGTTAGTATCTTCAGACTTGACACTATTCAACTCTCCTCCCTCATTAAGTTTCATCTCTTTCCAGTTTTTAAGTGTAATCAAATGATAGCTTGAAGCAAAAAGCATCTTTTGCTTTTGTAACATACCCAATTTGTAATGTACCCAAAACCAAAAAGCTCGTACATAATCACTAAACATAGTGTTAGGACCTTCTATACAGATACTTTTTCTATATGGAAACCCCTCACTAGGACCAACTCATCATGCATGCTCACTAGCCCTAGCGACTCCTGTCCCTATTGCTGCGAGGCTCCCTTTATAACAGATTTTATGTACATGGAGATAAAGAATAAGAAGCTAAAGGCTCCATGCAGGGATTCTTTGGGAGGTGGAGAAAAAAGAGCCAACTAGCATTCACATAACTATGCCAGGGAGAGGAGGGGAAAAAAAAGGGGGGGGGGGGGGGAGGAGGAATAGGAAGGCAGGAGAAATGTTGTGGCCTACATATTCTTGGGGGCAAGGAGTGCAGAGGCAACCAAGCAAAACACACATGGAAAGAGCTCTGAAGGGTGATCTGGGCTGCCTCCTGCTGCTCGGCTCTGGTGAGCCACAGTCCTCTCCGCTCCTGATGGACCCTGGGCCACCACAAAGGCTCTAGAAGCCCCAACACGCTCCTGGCTCCGTGGGAGCGGCGCCCATGCACTGCCTCCCGCCAGCACAAGCCCCGGGCCGGCCCGGACCCGGGAACCAGGGCCGGCCCGGACCCGGGAACCAGGGCCGGCCCGGACCCGGGAACCAGGGCCGGCCCGGACCCGGGAACC